CTAAAGCAAACCAAACAAGCAGAACTCCCAGACACTCCAAAAACTCAAAACTCTCACTACTCTTGTAGCAATCAAATACTTAACAAAGAGCACAAAATAAATCAATATTCCTACTTTCCTTAAACATTATCACCTACATCCTTTTAGAGAAAAGGGATCCCTTGATGACAAGTATCCTGTGAACACCACAACCTCTCAAGTCATGCTGAAGTAGGTCCATTACATATCTGTGGCTCTCATCTTCTGCAAGGTGACATGTTTTGCAGGCTTGTCTTGCCTACTGCACCTGTGAAACTCTGGATTTCCTGGGGAAGGTTCCTGCTGTTGATGACCGTGGTAGGGAGTTTGATTTCCTCCAGAGCTAGCTGATACGGAAGCTCTTCTGCTCAAGATCGTTGACTCTCTTGGCAGCAATTTGGCAGGTCATTCTCCATCTCATCCCTCTGGAAAGACCATACTTTGCAATGATAAGTACTGAGAGGTTAGTAAGAGGCCTAATGGATAAGTCTGTAAATGATGTTCTTCAAGGGCTAAAGTATGTTCTGACTTAAGTACAGGCAGCTTAGTGGCGAGAGGAGTTGTCTTAGTGTTTTATTCAGATTCCTGGATTGCTGGAGAGACTTGTATCTGTATTTACATGGAGCAAAGAGCGAGTGTTTCCAAAATGACTATGATAGTTGAGGATGAGGAAGAAGGTCCAATTCTTTACAGGTGATTGCTTTAAGCTGGCCACTTTGGATGTCCGACTATATTCTATAAGGTATTAGAAAGCTCTTAGAGCTTGCCTCATTAGATACGGTTGCCATTAGAAGCTCTTTTGAAGTGCTGTTTCCCTCCATCAGCGTGTGGCTGAATATGAGAAAGACCAATTTGTCATATCCAATTACTACTTTCCTGATGCAGTACACCGAGCTTATAGTTTTTGTATCAGTATTTCTCAGTGGAGAGAGTTCTGCAGCTGCAGTTCTCTGCTGGTATCATTCCGTCATGTTCCTACTACTGTTTATCTTTCTCAGATCTTCAGTGTCTTGATTAAATATCTCTGGACTGGTACAGAAGACTGAGTTTGCTCCTTCCTTTGTAATTTCAGAAGTCTGCAAGAGTGGGAATTATTTTGTGCCAACAAACTCTTTCTAGAAGATTGCAAGCTTGTGAGATTATGGACTCATGATTTTTCCTGTGATTCTGAGCATGCAACGGCAGCACTCTAGAATTACATGCTCTCAATGATTTCTTTACCTGCTGCAGACATATTTGTATCATGAAATATTTGAAAAAACAGTCTTTTTAGGTTGTTCTGAAGGATATTTCTAGAAGCTTCTACATAAAAATAATACTTTCTAACAGCAAGAATAATCTATTGTTTAAGCACCTGGTCTCACTCTGGATTTGGCAAATATTTCTAGGTTGATCTGGAAAGTTCTTGGCAAAGAATCCCGCATGTTCGAATCAGAAAAGATGTTGCTTAACTTTATCCCCCATTTATTAATGCTGGCAACTGAAATACAAATCATCTTACACTGAAAGTTTACAAATAAATTCAGTGTCTTCAGAAAGCACAAGTGAGCATTAGACTCTTTTTTTTTTTTTTTTCTCTCTTCTCTCTCTAGATTGTAAGGTTTGGTAGCAGTCTGTCTTTTAGTAGTTAAAATACATTTCAAGTATCCTTTGTGCACTTTTAGTCCAGGTCGTACCATTACCTTTTTGCGTAATGCAATCTGTTCAATATCTCCGCTGTCTCCTGAAAGGACTCTCCTACTGCCTCTCTCCCTGGAATGTTTCAAGGCTTCAATTTTATTGTCCTTCTCTTTAAAAATATAGGAAGCCAAATAGGAGATGACTTAAACTTTCAACAAGCACGAACAGTCTATACAGTGTTGGACAAGAGATCTGGCTTTTCAGTAGTCATCTTGATTTTCTTTTTGCAAGTCATTTTGCTTATTTCTGATTCTGTTTCACTTTCTACCTCGTGTACCTTTCAGCTGTGAGACCTTCTGGGTAGGGATTTGCACATGTGTACGTTTACTGCCTAGAAAAATTGACTAACCTTATTTATTTTTGCTTTAATGTATTATTCATTTAATAATCTATATCTAGCTCATTATTGGTGCCAAGAGTCCTGCATATGCGTCTTTCAATGTCTCTTCTTGTGCACGTGAAAGCCGTCCGATTCAAGCTATAGGACTCGCATAACGGTGATTTTCATGCAGAAAAAGAAAATATTCTGAAAAGTTAGTGACTTTTGAGTTTTTGCACAATCAGATGGGTTCATGAGTTGAGAATATGGGTAATCAGGTACTCAGGCTACAAACCAGCATCTTCAGTTTTGGAGTTGGTAAAAAGATTTTGTCCATTCCCATGGGAAGATGGATGCGAAACAGCAATTCGTGTATCTAACGTACTGCAACCCTGTTTGGGAGTAGGCAGATGCAGTATTTAGAAAGAAAAAACTCTCCAAGAGTAGCCTGACATCTAAACAGTTCTTGCACTGAGACACTTCAGCGGGTGCTCCTATCAGTAAATTGGCCTGCATTCAAAATATTTGTAAAAATTGAGGTTTGCTATCCATGGCACCGGACTGAGCTGCCTGGAGAGTAATCTTTTGCTTAGTGTTGATGTTCTTATGATTTCCAAAATAAAGATTAAACCTTCTGATACAAGAGTCTCTCTTAGAATGAAGATAACTTAATTCTAGAGAAATATTCATGCTGCCAGATTATTTTGAAATGAAAGGCAGAGCTTCTATTTGTCCTAGCCTTTCCTTTGCAAAAAACTTCTCCAAAAAAAGCCAAAGCAGAGGGTGATTTCTCACACAAATGTGCACAAAAAACCAACATTCCAGCAACCGTCTGGGGAGTAGGATGAAATGTGCTCTGATGTCGAACCCCTTCTGCTGTTAGCTCATTTTTGAGAGACGCTTTGACACTATAATATAGGGTTGCAAATTGAAATTGCAACACCCTGCTATTGGGCCAAGGGATGAAGCAGCACAATAACTGCTTGCTTGATCTTACCACTCTTGCTTTAATGTGTATGTAAAAGATATCGGGAGCCTTTCCAGGCATCTGTCAGGGTATTTGATGCTGTTCGATAGGGAACTTCAGTCTGTGTGTGGTTAGTATGCGTGTGTGTAAGTTTTACCAGTGTTTTATATAGTGTGGTAACTACAGGGCAAAGTTTCAGGTTTTATAACAGTTGAATTTTGTTTATTATTAAAAGCTTATAAAAATACTAATTAAACTGGTGGATTATAACAGAGAATACAGTTCTTACGCTCTTGTCACAGGAGTTTCATAGGTAATTGGTCTTGACCTGTATGTCAGCTTTAATATTTCATTTGCTGCAGAGTATTATTACTCACTTCCTTTAAGACGATAGCTAGGCTTTTTATGCAGCTAAACTTCTGTTTAACCTTGCTATGAGAATGTGACAGTAGGCTAGTTCAGACAGGTTAGCATTCATTTGGTAACCAGCCTGCTTAATCAGCCTGCTTCAACCTGCAGCAAATTAAATCTTTGTGAGTTCTAGCAGGCAAGTGATAAAGTCATTCTGAATTATGTATAAAAATAAATGGGGTATTTTCAGTGCTCATGGCAGTAAATGAAACTTAAGGCTTGTGATTTATTCTTGGGTTTTTGTTAAGGATGATTGAAATTTATTTTACCTTAATGTTTTTACAGTCTTAATTAGGGGGATGCTGTATTTCTGAAACACGTAATGTGTCTCATTCTGTGCCCCACAAAAATAGTAATCATTTTTATAGGATGTAGAAAATCATCTTCTGCCCTCTTCTGTGCTTCTTCTGAAGAAACCATTAGAAAAATATTTTAAACATCCAGCTAGAACTATGTTTCTCAATGTCACTAAGAATTGTACAGCATCAAATATTTTGTCATTGCCAAAATGAATTGGCTATCTTTATTTAAGAGCTATTCACATTGTAAATTTAGCCCACGTGTTATCAAGATAGGGCTTAGGTGCTTCTGAAGATTCTACTTGTGGTCATCAACGTCACTTGACCAGGACTGATGTGCTTTCCAGAAGAGGGCAGTAGGCTGGGTGTACGCTTACCCTATATAGAGGAGAGTGTGAAGGGTGCTTGAAATGCAAGGATGGCACAAACGGTTCTGATCATAGAAGAGTGGACGATTCTTATTTTCAGTCATATCGATTAGTACGTTTTTAAATGCAATGCAGGCTCAGATCTTCAGATATTATTGTTGTGTGTTTGCAGGCATCTAGTAATTTTGTCTTTCAAATGACGCTAGCTTTTTTCCATTTGCTGTCTTGTTAGTTTTAAAAGGTTGAGATTAGGCATACAGCAACAGGCAAAAGTGCCGTTTCTGTTGGCACTGGTTAATGAACATCTATCCTATCTTTGCTGACTGCAATTTCACCAGCATTGCTGGGTTTGTGTATGTCCTTGTTCATGTGAGAAACATGGCATGTGCCTTTGACTTTAATAATGACCAAGATGGAGATGAAATGTGTTTTTTAAGTAGCCACTGTGATTGTGTCTTTTACAACGTCTGGCAATAAACTGTTCCAATTAATTCTTTTTTTCAAGATGACTGTTTTGATTAGTTTTATCAGTACCTATCATCTTCACTTCAACATTTGCTTATTGATCAGGAAGGAAAAATTTACATCTACTTCATCAAGGCATACCACTGTAAAAGTTATCATATACAAATAATGGTTTAAACTTCAGCACCGATTTAGGAGATAATAACAATTCAAGACAGTTTTGAGTTTGCAATTCCATTTAGTTTGTTTCGGTACTCCATACATACATAGCTGTAAAACTCCATTGTTGTTTCTTTGAATATTTTTACATAAGGAATCATTTTAGTTTTCCAGGCTTCTTTCTTTATGTTTGTATAATTAATTTGGTCTTCTGCAGTGCAGTCTTCAGTTTGAATCTCAAAGCACCTTTAAAAAAACCCCCAACCCTCAATTGAGACTATGGCTTTAATAAATGATCATTGCTTTGTTTGTAGATGACTCTAGCTGTATCGGGACTGACTTTTCCTTGCCATCGACTTACAGTTGGAAGAAGATCTTCACCTGTACAAACGAGGGAACAGTCAGAGGAGGTAAGAACATCATCTTTATTTAACAAGTATACTCTAGGAAGAGGCAGGGAAAGCTCATTTTGCCATGGTCACCGTCCCTTCTGTTGTTAAATTGCATCTTAAAAGAATCAGTTTACAATTCCTGTAATATGTAATTGTGACAAAGTAAGGAACTGGGTAAATGAGTCATTGAAGAAAAAGAAAAACAAAGTAAGCAAGCCACAAGTTACTAAGCATTGAAAAATACTCCAAATTAAACAGAAGGCTGAAACATGTATTTTTAGGATTAGCAGAAAAAGATGTTTGCAGACTGTATAAGCTCTCATTTTGTTGTTTCTAACTATTAATAGTTTGGGTTAAAATTTCCAATTGTCCTTCCTTAAAATGAATTTAATATAATTCATTTATTAATATAATTTAATATAAGTAGTTTCCCATTTTCCACACACTTTTCCTACCATTTCATTTAGAGAACTTTAGCACATAAGGTTTGTCTTGCTGCACAAAAAGGATGTGTTCAATCTGTTCAGCTCAGTTGAGTTGGCAAGACGTAGCTGTGAGGTACAGTCGGGATGCAAGCCTGGATGTATGGTGTTGGATAGTTGTTAAAAATTAGAGGATGGTGAGACAATGCTGTTCTAGCTATACCTGAACCACTTAGCAGGTTAGATAGATGGTTATTGTTTTCTCTTAGGGTCTGCCAGCATACTGTATCATTGCTTCTTTACTTCATTCTTTCAAAATTATCTGAGTTTGTCCATCTTGCAGAATTTTCTTGTGGACTCAATCTTTTAGAAAACGTTCTTTATTTGAAATTCTTAATGTGTAGCTGTTGTAAGGAGAGATCCAGCATGTTTTTGCTCCTCTCGTGGTCACTTGCGTGCTAGAGCTGAAATCTCATGTTCCATGAGACGCTTTGTTGTGCCTTCAGAGATTCATGTAAATTTTCCGTTGTGTACTATCACCGTAACTCCTAGGTCAAGTGGAGCTGGAATAGTTGTTCATGAAAAGAAGTCAGTTTAAAGGCAAGTTAACATTGACTAGTTAAACCCAAGGTTTTCTGAGCTGTTTTATGTTTCAGAGGACATGAAATCCAAAAGATCTGAGTTGGAGGCACGGATGGGTGCCAGTTGGAGGCACCTTAGCTCCTTGCACAAAAATGTTGATTTTTCTCCTTTATATTGGTATGCCAAATAAATCAGCCTGTCATTCAACATGCAGTAGTCTGGTGTGCCAAGTTAGGACTACGAGTGCTAAATTTGTATGTCAGAGATTGCAATGCAATAGATAGGTACCTTTCCAAGGATTGTCCCCCACCGTGCAAGTAGTGCTAAAGTAGATTGTTCTGGATATCTAAAATTATTGATAGATTGTGTGGCTTTTCTCACTCTTTCTTATGCAGTTAAACCAGCTGTAGTACTGTTAGATGGAAAACAGCATTAACTTTGGATAAAATTTGCTCAACTATGTGTATACAGAGCCAGTTCCTTAGTTATTTAATAATGCATTTTGTCACATAATATTGCTCTGCCAGCCAGACTTCTGGTAAAAATTAGATCTTATTTATAAAAAGCAATCTGATAATGTTGTATAAAATAGTAAAATAAAATGCAGTATATCAAAATTGGACATTAGGAAAAATTTCTTTACTGAAAGAATGGTCAGGCCTTGGAACAGGCTGCCCAGGGAAGTGGGCATCCCTGGAAGTATTTAAGAGACGTGTAGATGAGGCGCTTAGGGACATGGTTTAGTGGGCATGGTGGTGTTGGGTTGACGGTTGGACTCGATGATCTTAGAGGCCTTTTCCAACCTTAATGATTCTATGATTCTAAGTATTTTTATAGAAATGTGTAAGTATTTTTCAGTGTGTATATATTTCATATTTCACTGAAGATGATGTCTGTAATAGAGGCTTATGGTGGATTTTGTTTTTTGTTTTTATATAGCAATGCACTGATGTTCATATGGTTAGTGACAGTGATGGAGATGACTTCGAAGATGCTACAGAGTTTGGAGTTGATGATGGAGAAATGTTTGGAGTAGCATCATCTGCCTTGAGGAAATCGCCAATGAGTAAGAGCTGACAGTTGATTTACAATTAACTGGTGATTGTACAGCAGTAGTGAAGGCAGAGAGGTATGATGGGTCTGCATAATAAGAAACAGGAAAGTATCTTTTGATAGGAATGTTAGAATTGTTTGTGTCATGTCTGATGGATGTATCAGATGAAAATACTGCAAACATAATTGGCAACTATGAAAGCGTCTCCCCATGGAGGAAGTTTTTTAACCTTATGTTTTTAGCTTATAGTTGAAGAATAATAATTAAACTCAGAGAAATTACGATCTTTAACCAAATGTTCCTGTAGATAACTAGATTTCCACTTCCCTGTTTTGAAAATTCTACAGATATTAGTTTCAGCATCTTGTGGTGATTAGTATTTTTAGCCATTTACGTTAAAAAAGTTTCTCAGCGATTATTTGCCCTTGAATTATGAAAGGGATTGAGCAGGAGCAGTCAGTTACCTCCTATACTTTTTGTTTACTTTAGGCTTGTATTAGTGTTATTACCTTAGAAGTTTCTTGACAGCAAATGTATGTAATAATATGGAAAACTTCTTAACATTATGTATAGGAAGTTTAAGAAAAAAAAAAAAAAAGAAAGAAAAAGAAAAGAAAAGTAACTAGTAATATAGTGGGTCAAGCCTTTCAAGCCAGTCCTTTCATTTTAATGTGTTAAAGTAAGTCCAGAGTGTTAACTCTGAACAAGTGATATATCACATTACACTGGACCTGAGGATTTTACTGTTTGGAAAGCCTGAATATATTCATGAGAGTTTCTGGAAATTTCATGTCTTTCCAAAGGTTCATAGTCAGTAGTCTTTCATGAAATTTATATGGTCTTTCGGTAACCGCTTCAGTAAGCTGTCAACATAAAAAATCTATGAAGCAAGTGAGTTCACATATTAAAATCTGTTTCCATAAGGTTGCACTGAATTTATATTTTTCATTTTTTTAAGTGCCAGAAAATGCTGAAAATGAAGGAGATGCCTTACTACAATTTACAGCAGAGTTTTCTTCAAGGTAAGCTTAGCCTATTAACTGTGCAATTCTTTTTACAAACTAAGTAAAATTTAGTAAATAATGAAAATAAAAATAAACCAAATGTACCTATTTTCTTGTGGGATTACAGCATATTTAGGCATCCTAATCTAATTTATTTTATGCTTTACTTTGTTAGAACTGTTTCTGAAATAAAATAATTTCTCAGTCTAAGTTAGAGTGACAGCTTCTTGCCTTATTTAATTTGCCACTAATTAATATCATTACTTAATTATGTAAGGGTCCTGAAGGATGATAAAGACTCTGATTATGAATAATAATTTTAATATGATATACAGGAACAGAAAAGCTGAAACTGATTAATATTGAAATATGTATACAGAGTTGCAATAAGAGTTTTCACAATAATGAAGTGGTTGAATAAATCTCTACTTTTAAAAAATATAGAAATGCTGCTCTTTTTTAACTTTATACCACCAAGTATTTGTTAAACAGTTGCCATGTTTCATCAAACAGGTAGAAGCTGCAAACTAATATACTGCAAAGTAATGCAAGTTTATATGCCTTCTGTTTTTACTCCTCTGTGATGAAAAGTTCATTTATATATATGAGATGCATTAATGTGTAATACAATAATAGCCTTCAGTTAACCTTTAAGAATATAATAAAGAGAGGAAATAAGTTATGATTGAAAAATTATGTAGAACTTAAGGTGTCTATGTGTGTAAACAGAAAGTTTTTATGATAAAATTTGTAAGGTAGTAGTTAGTTACTTTGAGCTTTTGAATGTTGGGAGACAGATGGCTTCTAAATATTTCCCTTCTGTTCTTCAAAAGTGTAGTAGTACATCTTTCTAAAGGTTTAGCCAATGAATTATATTTACAGAATATATGAAGAGGTAGAATATTGAAATTACTTATTTTCGTAATTTTTTATTAATTGGAAATTTTATCTCAAATAGATATGGTGACTGCCATCCTGTTTATTTTATTGGATCATTAGAGGCTGCTTTTCAAGAAGCCTTCTATGGGAAAGCTAGAGATGTAAGTGTGTATTAAAACTACTTTATTTAATATAGGGGGGGAAATGGAAATCACTGTAAATGTTTCATCTTTATTTTAAAAAAGGGAAACTACATTTTGGAGTTATCTTGTTTTATTGTTTGTGAAGAGTTATACTCATTTAGTTGACTGATTAAAATACTTACCCTGGTTGTTGAGATTACAGTGAATAACTCACGCTTCCTAATTATTCAGGCTGTATTTTTGTTGGAGTCCTTCAGTCATCAGAGCTACTCTTATTCTTTTTTTTTCTCTCCCCCTCCCTTTTCTTCCTGAAATAATGGTGTCCTAGCACCAGATAACACTGGCTGCGAGTCTTGTGGTTGACAAGTTCAACGTTGCATGTTGGTAACTCCTTTGAAGGATGGCTAATGAAATTGTAAATTTAAATTGAAAGGTCTCTGAAATACAGTGCACTATTTTTCTTTGTACAGCCTTTATCTGCCAAGTAAATTCCAGTACTAAGGTTTGGTTATTTAGTTTTTCTGTACATCCAGCCAGATATCTCAAGTTTCTGTTATTCCATGCACAGTTTTAAAAATCAGTATTTTAATAAAATTAGAATGAGGATAGTTTATTTAAGTTTTGGTGACTTGATTCACTGAGGAGAAACCCAAACCCCTGCATAATTAAGCATAGATAAAGCTGAAACACAAACAAGAAAATCATGCTGTTTAAATTTACTTTTTGTTGTCTTCATAGATATTTAATTTTAAAATTTAAAAGAATGTTTTGGCTTCCTGTAGTTGCTCATATTGGAAGGAACAGCTATATTATGTTAGGGGCTGTTCTGATAAGTGTGCAGTGTTATGAATCTACACTGTATAGCTTAACACATACTTAACATGCTGTGTTTAAACTCTAAGTTTAGTGAATATTTTCATGTCTTTGTGCAGATTTCAGAGCATAAATGGATACATAATAATTCAACGGCAAAGCATTAATTTATAATAACTCATTAAAGTGAACCTTAATGCATGTTTAAAAGAAATTATATTAATTCAACAAGAAAAGTGTTTGAGTTGGGAAGTTCACTTTGTGTCATTTTATCAGAAATGGTTGACAGTGTATCAGTATAATAATGGACGAGAGCCCATTAGGAGCTTTCATAAATATTTTTTTATACCTATAAATCTGATATTAATGCAGTGCAATTACTTAGTTTTTTAATACTCAAAGTAATTCTTATACTGCTTACGTAGCACATCTGAAATTCATGTCACCTTACGTTTCTACTATTTTGCGATGTATTCAGACCAGATCCTCATCAGGATAAAGTTATATATTTAGGAAAGTATTATTTTTGTGGGTTTTTTCTTTAATTTTTTTTTTGCTGAATATTGCCTTAATTTTTGAAAGCTCTGCTTCCCAACTACCCTGTGGAATGATATTTTTATTGTAACATTCTGATTTTAAACAAAGGTATGAGAATGTATAAATACCATTTATTTTTACTGCTTTTTTCCTATTACAAACAAGTTTTTTCAGTACTGCCTCCTGGAATTCATAATTAAGGAAAGGGATACATTATTTTATGTTTTTATAATTACATTTCATAAAATAATTCAATACGTATAGCAGTATAAGGAAAAAAACTTAGGAGAAATTGCAACCTGTATGTCTTGTCTTCTAATTTATACTATGGAGGGCACTTAATTTTACCAGGGCAACAGATGAGCTTCAGGCACCAGCATTCTTCACTTGAAGTGAGAAATTGAGTTCCAAGAGTAAATAAAAACAAGATTGAAGGTTTAAATCCTCTGCTAGGCTTTTTGAACTTATATACTCATTAAATGTTTATTGGAGTGGTGGGATTACGAAGGATTTGGGTAGCTTCATCAACTGGTATATACTTAATCACTAAGTAAAACACTACATTTGATAGAGTGTTTCTCACGATGCCACACTCAATCCATCTTAATGAAAACCGCTTCAAACTGATTTAATTTGAGAGCACTTGGCAGCTTGAGTGCTCAAAGATCTTAGCCTTTTCTTGACAAATTCTCAACGCTGTCCAGAGCAGAAGGTGCACTCTACTGTTCAGGTTTAGTGAGACAGCCATCAGCTATGTTTTTAATCTATATTGTGGATACTTTTTCCCTCAAAAAAAAGTCCCATCATATATGAACTTGAAGCCTTTTTGCAGAAATATTTTAATTTGGGTTATTTTAAGAAAATTAATTTACATCAGAACATGTGTTTTAAACACAGATTATGGGTTAAAATTCTTTTTAAGAAAATAGATGTTCTGTTAAATCTTAATGTCTTTTCTTGGCGTGTGTTGGAAAGGATGGTAATTCATAGTTGTTTATGAAAATGTTACTTGAAAAAGAAATACCTTGTAAAAAAAGTTTAGATATTTGTCTGTTACCTATGTTTTGTTTAGCTTTTATTATCGTAGCTTTTCATTTCGAGTCTTCAGATAGTTGAGATTAACATACATAATGGGTATCTTTTTTCCTTTAGAGCAACTGCTACCATGATAGTGCCAGTTTTAGGTAGGAGAGATGGAATGAGGTCAAATGTAGCTCTACTTTAAAACCTGTATATCTCTTTAGCACAAAAATACAATAGCCAAGATATAGAGCTTTGCCTTTAACAGTCAGTGTCCTCAGCAATGAAATCCCCAGTTACCTCCTGCAGCCTGATAGTTAAGGGCATTGTCTGTTCATTGCCAAGGCTTATTGTATATATAACACAAGAATTTTTTTTTTTTTTTTTAATTGGGTCAAGAAGAAAAAGACAGACAGAAGTTTATTAAATTAACAGATAAGTTGTTCTTTTGTGAAAGTCATCTTCTGCTTACTATGCCAGTTGGAAAGAAGCATTTCTCTGTTACATTAGTTTATGAAGAATAATCTTACTCTTGCTCAAGTAGCTACACTATCATAGAAATAGCTAGACCTGATGCCATGGAAGAAATCTTATAATGGACAGTTTTAAGCAAGATGTCTGGGGGAGGTTTCTTTGCAACTGAAAGCAGTTTGTGGGTGCCTTGTGTTCTGAAACATCAGGGGGTTTATCCTAACTTAGGGCCGTATTGTTATTAATACACGATCTTAATCACTTTATTGAATCTCACTGAGCTATTTACTTGAATAATACTAAAGTATTTTCTTTTATTGGAGCTTGTTTGCCTTTTCATTTTTATAGGTGGTTGCTACTCTTTTATTATGAGAAAGAATAAAGACATCTGCTTTACCTTTTCAGGAGCTCTTATCTTTATATACCTTTGTCAGATCACCTCCTGCTCCTATCTCAACCTTTCTGTCCACTGACTTTTAATAAACATGTGAAACATCTCTCTTAGCACAGATTGGTATTGTCACCTCAATATATATTCCTGCATACTGAAAATGAACCATGTTTTTCTTCTCCTTGAATTCTGTCTATGGGTACTTTATTTCCTGAATACCTAGAAGAAAGTATGCTCTTTCCATGGTCTGGCATGTTCAAATAAAAGTTGTGGGTTTTTTTTCCTGGTGGTAGCAGAATATTCCTTCATACAGGGCTTTCTGTAGTATCATTTTTATCTGTGTAACTCAGAAAACTGTCCCTTGTTATTATTTCAGCTAATTAAGTTCATGAACTTAATACAGAAAAAAGATTCACAGAGATAATATTCTGATTTCTGTTAGAGCACGTTATAGAAAGAGCATTGACTATTCTCCAGTCTTCTTGTCTCAGAAGAGAAATTTGAAGTCGGTCTTTTAGGTGCTACGTTGAGTAGAAGAGAGAGGTTGTTCTGAATCCCAATCGCAGGATGGCTTTTTGGTTTAGTCATTGCCATCTTTTTTCCCCCACCTATTCCCTAAATATTGCGGAGTGATGTCAAGGAGTACAACTTCATCACCAACTTTTAGTTTGACTCTAGGCACATTTCAAATCAAGTTAAATTGCTACCCCTACCTTTTATAGGGGGCTTCATCATGTTGTGTATCGTAGGTGTGCTTTGAAAATGCATCTGTAGTTGAGCTGTCTGAGGGTCCTAGATGGAGAAATTACTACTTTACAGATTCCGACTTAACATAAATAACCTGAACACTAATCTACATGGTCTGGCTGAAACTGTAGAAGACAGTTATAGAAGTATAACTCCAGGTTCCCAGGAAGAGTAAAGCAGCTACGCTATGGTAGGTGTCAGTACATAAATTCCAATTAAGTCCCGTGTTAGTCACCTGCATTTTCTTTCCAGTCTTGCCTAGTGTGTTTGTGTGTTAGCAGTTCTATCTTTTCATTCTTCAATTAATTCTGAATTTGTGGATAATTATTGTTTAGAAATTTTTGCTACAACATACCAGCTTAGTAGTCTCACTGTGTGCCTACACGCCCTTTTATTGTGCTTCATCTTTCATATCTGGAAGATTAGTCACGGGTATGGGTCTCTCTTCAGCGTTTTCTGTACTTAATATTAAATAATGAAAGTTTATTGAAATTGTTTGCCACACTCTACATTTCCTCTTCTTTCAAAGCCTATGATTTGTAGCTCTTATTTGACTTTGCTTTTAATTACTGGATATTCTTTGCAGTATGTAAGATATCACTACAAGTTCAATTGATTGAAACAGAGATAGAACAGTATGATAGGATCAAATATTTGGAAGATGAAAGTAGACCAAATGAAGCTTGAAATAAAACACAGCTTTACCTGGGAGAGTGGTTAGCCATTTGAACAGCTTGCCATGGTTCATGATTCTCCGTCACTGATGGTTTTTTGAGACTAGATGTTTTACTGAAAGATAAAATTACTGAAAGATTAAATTAGGAATTAGTTTAGGGATGTCTTAGGCCATGTATAATACAAAAGACCAGATTGGAAGATTACAGGAATCATCTCACTCTCACGTTAGGAACCTGTGGGGTACAGTTTAGTTCAGATCGCCTTGGTGTTAGAGAATGTTTGCATTCTGCTTAGGGAAAAAAGATTGTGCATGATAGAGTAGCTGTGTCCAAGAAGGCTGATCATAACGATCTCCAAGATCACCTTGGAGAGGTGGATCAAATTGTACACTTCAAAGGTTTAAAGAGGTACAAATGTGTCCCTTTGTTCATTTAAATTAGCTCTCACTACTTAAAACCTGGAAGAAAAACGAACATCTTGATTCGTTAGTCTACCAGCTTGAAAGAACATTCATGCCTCTAGCAGATGTTACATTGTGAACATTTTGGTCTCAATTATTACTTGAATTTGTGAACCTGAGATTCAAAAATAACCATTCAGATCTGTGTTTTTGCTGACCCTTAAGACTATCACTGTTCTCATTCTAGTTCATATTCTTCTGAGGTGTTTAAATTATTCACGTTATTAGGAACTGGCTGAGAAGCTTGGATATCCCATTACTCAGTGATTATCAATTTAGTCTCTCAACCTCTTGAAGATCTGTGTTTCTTTCTGCCTCAGTGCCAACTTTTCCTTCATTTCTTCTAATTCTGTACAAAGGGCATTAACTTTTCTGAAGTTCCAAAATGCAAAAATGGCCAAGTGGATGGCACAGCCATTTTCGTACATAGGACAGATCTTTAACGTGTTTGTCTCACGTGTGGGATTGTACATGCGTGTTAGATCTCTTGGTCAGTTTATGTGGCAGGAAGCTGCTATACTTTGGATGATGTGGCAGAGAGGTTTCATGGTGCAAGGCTCCAGCTGGGAGGACTATGCCTCTCAGGGGGCTGCCCTTCTGCAGTACAGTGTCCATCTACAGCCCGCGTTTCCTTCCAGGGTGCCACGTGCCAGGCGTATTCCATCAACAGATCAAAATCAGGCAGGAGAGGGCTGCAGCACTTCGCTGCAAATACAGAGAGGTGGGTGTGAGGCAAGGGAGCAGAGGCACGGCTGACTGAGTCTCATGCAGTCTGAATGCAACAGAGGTTGCAGAAAAAAATGCTTGAGCTCTGGATTTTTTAAGGTGTTTAGATAGCCACGATGCTGAAAACAGTTAGCACCTCTTTCTCATGGCCCTTTTTCCTCTGAAATAAAATGAAACCTGGAGCTTAGAGGTCAAGTTTTTAGGACCTTAAGTCTTATTGACATTGATGAGACTTACATTCCTGAGTATGTTTGTAAATCCAGGCCCCTTCTGAAAATTCCAGTGTATGACTGCCTGGTCTTCAGCATCCACATACTCTGAAAAATACATCTCTTGATGGCTTAAGTTCCTGAAGTTCTAAGGCCTTTGGAAGTCCATCAGCTATTCAGTACTTAGAACCTTTCCAGTATCCCATACCTTCACAAGGCCTTTGGAAGTCCATCAGCTATTCAGCACTTAGAACCTTTTCAGTATCCCATACCTTCATAGGGACTAGTAAAAGTTCTTCCCCATCAGATTTTTTTTCTTGGTTAAAATTTTTTGGTAAGTATATAACCCGAGTCATTATATTTTTGAGAAATCCAACACAGAACAGACTAGTGCTCCGTTAGTAGGCTTCTTTTATGAAAGTCAAGACTGTTCAACGGTTTAGTAAGCCTATTTTATTAGTATTGACTAAAAAATTCCCAGTATTAGTCATTATAGAATCCTAGAATTTACTCTGATTTTTAAAAAGCTTGAAATAAAAACAACAAAAACCTGCTTATAAATTTATACTACCATGGGTTAGTAAAAAAAAAAAAAACAAAACCCCCCCAAAACCAAAACAACAAAAGCAAACCACACAACAGCAGCAACAACAACAAACTCCAAGCCTTTTGCAATAATGCGTTTTTCCAAGTAAAAAGTACCCTTGGCTTCCACTAAGATTTTTCAAAATTGTGTTTCAGCACTTCAGTTCCTGCTGCTACCTCTTTTCATTTGTCCTAGCAGTATGCCTATGCCTGACCTTAACATTTTGGATGAATTATCAGACACAAGTTCAGTCTTTTACATGTGATAGAGTTTAGTCTTTGCATGGTGAAATTTGTTGATGCAACAAAAATTACATTCACTGAAGTAGCTCAGTGTAAACATCTATTGTGTATGTGCCTGTTCTGTTTACTAAAATTTGTCCCTAAATCTTTAAGCCTAAAACTGTACATATTTTGAAACATTCTGTTGTATGGAATCTCATATTTAACAGTTTCATGGGGTTGTTTCTTTGGAAGTAAAAGTGTTTCTCAAGAGCCTTTTTTTCTATCCGCTCCCAGTGAAAAGAGGAGAGCAAAGCCATCCGCTTACCACAAAGCAGTGCCACCACAAAGGAAAGATTAAGGGTTTAGAGAGAGGTCAATGTGGGTTTTTCTCTAACTAAACACTTTCCTAAAGTTTCCTTGTGGAAAAAATAATGAAGTCATCTCAGAGTTTTTAAAGAATTTTTATTTCTTTTTCACCGTCTGCATTCGCTTGTCTTCTCAGCATGGATGTTTAATCTTTCTAGGCTTTGTGAATTGGTCCAAATGAATAAGTGGTGAGCTGTCTCTCTAGGAGCTAGAGGCTTATTCTAAGGCCCTAATCACTGAGTAAACACATCTTTGCCCTCCCTCTCTTACAACTGCTATATAATAGTCGAGATTCTAGCACAGTAACCTGGATATTGCAGGGATCGACGCTTTGAAATGCAGAATGGCTGATCCTCAAAAACAGACAGTGCCTGATCTTCCCCTGCCTCTTTCTTCTTTTTAAATTAAATATCACCACAGAAATGCTGTTTTATTGCTTGATATTGTGCATCAGTGCCCTGGATTTTCAAATTTAGTTTCAGTCAACGTTGTTGGCTGCACTTATATGGATCTCTGCATGTTGGGCTTATTAATGGCCCTTCCTGGCACATGTGTACATAGTTCTGAAGAACATTTAAATTAAATCTAATCCCTTTCCCAAAGTCTAATGTTCAAATGTATTCTTCTTTTTATAAACAGTCATTAAGTTTTGTCCAAAGCCAGCATATGAGATGATAGCCATACAGGTTTTTTTACAAACACAGTTTGTCTCAGAATTGCATCCCATGTCTTGCTATATGAAAACACATCGATATCTAGTGTTCAGTGTTACTTCTGATGAAGAGATTTGAAATGACTTAAAATAAAAGTCTGAAAGTAGCATTTACCATATTGCCTCAGCAAATATGTTCAAGTAGGATTTTAAAATAAAGTAAATAATATATATGGGTATGGGGGAATGGAAAGTTGTCATTTTCTGAATGGTATTTATACTTCATTGAATACCAGATATAGGATCATGGTCCTTAACTAGCTCATAGTTTCCCTATGTTTTTCTCAGTCTGCTTTCTATCTTTACGTACACATAGACTCATTTTCCAAAAGGTGGTCTGTGTGTGTCATGGGGACACAGCACAGCTCTATGCTGCTGGCAGTGAAGCTCAAATATTACTTGATAGGGTTTCAGAAGAACATGGCACAGAATATTTTGTTTCAAGAGGCCACAAACACTATCCTCAACATCTAGTCTTCACTAACGTGGTAACTACAATGAGATATATCAGCACGCACAAATTCAATGTGGGATTTGATCCATGTCTCACGTACCCCTTCCCTTGTGTCTTACACATTCACGGTGCTGGGGCGGCTACCTTGCTGCTCAGCTCCATGAGAGATGTAGCCAGCTGGGCTGACACATGGCCTTTTGACCAGCTACACATCAACTTATGAAGTCGGTGAGAGGATGTGCTGTGGGCCTCCCCACATCATACGGCTGGATGGAGAGCTGCCAAAACATCCAGCATGTAGCGTCGCAGGCTTTGGGACTGTAGGCAGCTGTATTGTTACTTACTCATTTTCCTCTTTATTTGGCTACAGATGGGGTGATAACAACACAGTGTCATTTTTTCAGGTTGTTTATAATTGTTTTGTATCGTAGATGCTTTTGTATCAAGAGGCGTGTTCCTTGCTCAGTGAATTGTTCCAAAGGTTATCTTTGTTGGGCAGCAAGCCAAAAAAGTTCATGCATTTCTTAAGCTGAATCTGTTAATAAGGTTTTTGTTTTTCATTCAAATGTTGTTATTTTCATGTTCTAAGCATATAATATCTCGTGTTTTGGTACCCGAAATAAAATATTAGGAAGCATTGAGAAGACTTACAGATTTGGAGGGATGGACCATTTGACTTGAAATCTACTGGGTTTTTTTCCCCTGTGTGTGCACATTGAGATACTCGTCACCCTCGGTAAACACCATAGGGCATACTAACACACAAATCTGCAGCAGTGATTTTAAATTACTAAACAGTCTGAGGAAGTTTTCACTGATGTTTTCTCATGTCTTTTCAGAGAAAGCTTCTTGCTATCTACCTCCACCATGATGAAAGTGTACTAACCAATGTCTTCTGCTCACAAATGCTCTGTGCTGAATCTATTGTCTCCTATCTGAGTCAGAACTTCATAACCTGGGCGTGGGACATGACAAAAGAAGCAAACAGAGCAAGGTAAGACTTGGGGCTGTGGGTGGAGCAGCTTTTCTTTCAAGGAAGACCCTTATCTCTGTGTCATCTCTGTGTATCAAATCTTTTGTTGCTTGATATTTATTTGAACTAAAAACTTCATGCTTGTTCTTAGCTGATCAATGAAGCTGTGCTGGCTGATGCTTACTGGGAATTGGACCCTCCTTGTTTTCATTCCAAAGTGACTTCTTATTCCTGTGTAGGACAAAACAGTTAAAGAAATTATTTCTTCTTTTTTTTTTTTTTTCCCCTCCTTCTAGTTTATTTTGCAAACGTTCTAGGAACATGTCTTCATGGTTTTGCATTGCAGTGCCATGATATTATGCGACACTAATTGTATATACTTAGGTATAACTGCATTAGAATTGCCTGGGATAACAACTACTGTTGTTAATTAAAATCTTATTAAAAAAATAATACTCATGTGATAAATGTATATTAAAAACAGATTATGCAAAAAAATTAGAAGCTTGCAATTCACATGAACTTTTTTGAACAAAACGTTTCTTACAGAACATTCCTTTGGGTAATGTTCAGATATTTTGATAGGTTTTAATATAATAAAAGCTATCCTATGTTTAGAGAGGCCATCATTTTGCTGATTAGTAAAGAAGTTAAAAAACTGTAGATTCCACCTCCTTCTACATCTTTTGTGTGTTACCAACAAATTTTCTTACCTTTATATTAAGACCTCTTTCTCCTTCAGTTATTTGTCAGTTGATCATAATCTATTGAAAATAATGATTTTATTATTATACTTATTATATTTAGAAATCAGACTTGTTTGATTTTCTAACTTAGACCTTATTTCATCACCTTTATTTACACAGAAGACAACTGCTTGCCAGGATAATGTCTTGCATATATTACTATAATGACTGTTATTCCAACTTTTGAACAAAAGATGCAACAGTCATTTGGTCTGGGATAAGATTGCCACTTTTTTACACAATTCCATTGGTTATTGAACAATCAGAAGTACATATTTATGTTTCTTTCCCTTTTGGATTACTAGAAATTTGGTATCTTTATAGAGCATTCATGCATTCCTATTCTTAAATACATAAATTATAGTTAATATTTCTTTACTGAAAGTTGGACATGGAGAACAGAACAATCTCTTTTTCTAATACACTTTTTAAATGACACTTGTGTTTCAGAGGAATTCCTCACTCGACCTTCCGCATTTTGTCTTTGGACGAATCAGCAGCTATGTTCCTAGTTTAAATTATTCTAGGGAACAGTTAAAGATTATGGAAAAAAGCAGTTGCAAGAACAGATAAAAAGTTTTCAGAAAAAAAGGGAGAGTGAGGAAAAAGAAACATCTAGGTTCTTTCATGGGACCAAATACATAGACTGGAAAGTTGCTTAAGTCTTTTGGTATTGCCATTCATGGGCAGTAAGGAGCCTCCTCCTTTCCTTTTATCCCACAAGTTGGTGTAGAAGGAAACACTATTTCTAAACCATCTGTAGTGGCTAAGTTCAGTTGACTACCTGCTGTTCTATTGTTCCCTTTTCTATTTAATTCTCTAGTTTCTTTTATTTTACAATGACAAAAAATTGCAGTGTAGTTTCTTTTGAAAAACTGTGTTTGAGGGGGTTTTTTATGACTGACGATCAACAGCCATGTAATTGCTTTGTTGTGTTTTACTAAAGAAATCTATTAAGTAGCACAACTTTGATACACTAGTAATAAGAGTTTGCAGGTTACAGAGACACCTGTGGTGACCAAAGCGACAGAAGCTGCTTATTAGAAAGAGCCTGTACAGCTGTGTCCTATTAACTCCTTATGACACTTCTTAAACACAAAATAAAGGGCTTGTTTAAGGCTTTATAGCTATTCTCAATGAACCTAGTCACCGATTGTGCAGTACGATAGGGTTTTTAAGCCTTCATTTTTTTGCTTTCTATTAACAACAACAAAGAAACTGTCATATTAACAGTGAGGTCAAAAAATAGTGAGGGGTAAACAAGGCATGCTGGCTCGAATTAATAATTTCTCAGTTGTGTTTAGTGTCACATCCTGCTCCTTAGACTGTGATTTCTTCAGAGGGGGCATGATGCTTCCTTCTCCCTTTGGAAAGTGCCAATGCACTGTGGGCATTCCCATAAATAAATACTCAGTACCTCTGTTTAATTACTACCCTTCATTATGTGACACAAGGACAGTGGTCTTGGAGCCTATTCTGCTCTCTATTCCTATGAATACAGTTGCACGTAGCTTTTTATTTGAATGGTGAGAAGACAACGGCAACAACAGAAGAACTGCTTTTTTCGTGCTGGTGTAGCCCAAGAGCAAGTTATTTGCGCTGTTACAGTTGCATTAGTGGAAAAGCCAAGGTGGGAAGGCAGAGGAATCAGGTGCACTTTATTTACAGCAATCAACAGGGACAGTAGTAAAAGACAGCTTTTCAGTACTGTAGCATGGCATGAATAAATTCAAACAGATATAAATACTTTTCTGATATAAGCCAAAAAATCTTGAATATTCTGCTTTTTTTCTTGCTCTTTGCTGTCCTCTTTCTGACATCTATGGATGTCACTCTGTTCCAAAAACAGTCTTAATAGTAGTTTCCATTTTTCTCAGGATGGGAGTCCATCCTGAACACTGCGGAACAAAACCAGCTCCAAAATCTTGTCATTTTTCCTGATTTTTTTTGATATGTGTCTTGGCTGACACTGATGTAGGGATGTGCTTTGAATCCTGCGTTACTGTACTAGCACTTTTCAGCTGGAATCTCTCAATCTTGCTCTTCAACACCCATTGCAACAGAGTGAAAAGGGTTCTGTAGGTAGGACTAGAAGTAACACGCTGTGTGCAAGCACCAGGAAAGCATAAGCATTACGACTTTGGGAGACAGATTTTTAAAAATTTCTAACTACAGCCACCCAGGACTGTTACTTTGTCAAACTGAAGGAGAACTCTGGTTAATATAGTTAAGAGGATGTTTTGTTTTGGCTTCCACAGCTTTTAATTGCCTCTGACATAAGGTTTGCAGGAAAGGGAGCAATTACTTGGGTTAAGTGCTGCAAATTATGAATCTTTTCATTACTAGAATTAAAAAATCATAATAAAAGGCACAAAATAATATAATAAAATAATTAGCCTTCATTTAGGAAAATAATGTGGTGTTTTTATAATACTGTTAAGGAATCTACATGAAAGCTTTATCGCCTATACTTTAGACTTTAGTTTAGTGAGCAACTGTTTGGAATATTCTTGTAATTTATGTTGTCCGTGGTCAAAGGAGGAAAAAACTCCACAAAGCTACAGGTGTATCTTTTACTTGCTTGTTATATTCCACTCAATTTGGGGTGAATCATGAGCTTAAAAATCACTGTTTCCTTTTCATTGCTTGCTGTGGAGATTTGCTACCATGCCAAACAGCAGG